AAAAAAAAAAAAAAAAAGAATGACCAAAACTTTTCCAAATTTGATGACAACTCTAAACTCACATATCCAAGAAATTCAATAAACTCCAAGCAAATAAAACAAAGAAAACGTAGTCCGTGTGGACAAGCAAAGCTCAAGGTAACATCAGGTGTCTCACCAGCAACAACCCCAGTGAGATGACACCAAAGCACAGAAAGGAGAAGCCACCAGTTTGAGCACATGAAGTCACAGGAATCTCAGGCTGCTGGGGATGCAAACTGGTGAGCCACCTGGGAAGAAAGACTGGTGGTTTCTTATAATACTAAACAGACTCTCACCCAACACTCTACCTTTTAACAACGTGAAAGAAGCCAATCTGAAAAGTCTACACACTGTGAGATTCCGACTCTGTGACGTTCTGGAAAAGGCAACACTATAGAGACAGTAAAAAGATCAGGGGTTGGGGGAGGGAGGGGCTGAGAAGGGATGAACAGGAAGAGTACAAAAGATATACAGATGTGGGTAAATACGTAAGAATTTTTTATTTAAATCTCCTGAAATAAAAATTGGATGTTTAAACAAGGCTATGGATGGACTTGGGGTCTGTAATGTGCGCAAGGAAAAGGCATGATGACAACGCACAAAGGCTGGGAAGCTGGGGAAGGAAAGGCCTGCAACTATACATCTGGTATAAAGTCCCTTGAAGGTAGGCTCTAAGCTGAAGGTGTGCACTAAAGCCCAAAGCAACCACTAAAATAAAAGTTACATCTGATAAGCCAAAAAAGAGCTAAAAGGAATGAAAATAGTCAATCTAAAAGGAGGCAGAAAAAGGGGAACAGAGTAGATGGGACAAAAAGAAAACAAGAGCGAGACAGTCGATTTAAACCCAGCTGTACAATATAATCACAGTGAGGTGCCTAGGGGCCGTGCAAAGGGGGAGGGGTTGTTATTATTACTTAATGGGTACAGTTTGTTTGGAAAGATGAGGAAGTTCTAGAAATGAATGGTGGCAATGGCCATAAGTGAACGTACTTAACGCCACTGAACTGTTCTCTTAAAATGCTAAAGATGGTGAACTTTATGTATATTTTACCAAATTTAAAAATGAAAAAATTATTCACATTAGATATATTACATTAAGTGTACATAATAACATGTAATAACTTAAGCATACAATCACCAATGTAATTAAATGCAAACACCTCAATTTAAAAGGCAGAGGTAGTAAGACAGAAGAGAAAGTAAGCTGCCTAAAAGAAACCCACTTAAAAATAATACTAGATTCTGAGCAAAGAATGCTCAGGGGTAAAAGGAGGTCATCTTATAAGGACGCAAATCATGTACATTAGGAATGAGAGAGGTGACACTACAGGTGGTAAAAAGACACTACGGGAATATTATGAACAACTTTATGCCAATAAATTCGACAACTTACATAAAATAGAAACCCCATGGAAGACACAAACTACAAAGCTCGCACAAAAGGGGGATTGATCTACCCATACAGTGAAGTATAACCCAGCAATAAAAAAAAATGAAGTATATTAACCACTGTGCTGTACACCCGAAACTAGTAAAATAATATTGAATGTCAACTCTAATTGAAAAATATAGTCACGGGATGTAAAATACAGCTTAGGGAGTGTAGTCAGTGGTACTGTAACGGCTGCATACAGTGTCAGAGGGGTAGTGGACTTGTTGGGGTGATCACTTTCTGAGGGGTGTAAATGTCTAATCATTATGTTGACTGTACACCTGAAATTAATATAAAATAAACTCAATCTTAAAAAAGTATAAAAAGGGTCGGCCGAGTGGCGCAATGGTTAAGAACTGGCTTGGGACGCCAGAGGGCCCCGGTTCGGATCCCACATATGAGGGCCAGTGACACTGCCCTCCACAGCTAAGATGCCGAACAACAGCTCAACCTGGAGCTGGGCTGCCGTGAGTCACCGGCGACAGCGTAGGCTGCAGCCCCTGTGGCAGTGGGTTGCCATGGGCTACCGTGTGTAGCCAGCAGCCAGCGTGAGCGGCCAGCAGCCGCAGTGAGCGGTCGTCCAGAAGACTGGTGACTGATCTGCCTTGCCCGGGAAGAGCACAATGATGGTGCCAACTTGGGCCAATGAAGCAACGTCCTCCACAACTAGACTGAAGAACAAAACAACAGCAACCTGTCTGTTCCCCTTCCCCCAATTCCCCAGCACTGTTCCCATCCCCGCAATTCCCCAATAAAAAAATCTTATTAAAAAAAAAAAAACTATAAAAAAACTAAGCTCACAGATACAAAGAGCAGACTGGTGGCTGCCAGAAGTGGGGGTGGGGAAATGAAACAGGTGAAGCGGATCAAAAGGTACAAGCTTCCAGTTAGAAAATAAACAAGTCCTGGGGCGTCATGTACTATATATGCCACCCGGTGACTGTACTACATACAGTTACTGATACTGTGCCGCGTACTTAAAAATTATAGCAAGATCTTAAACGTTCTTATCACCAGCAAAAAAATGCTGTGCTCTGTGATGACTGTTAAAGAGCCTCATCATGGTGATCTATACAAATATATACAAATATCAAATCATAACACTGAACACCTGAAACTAACGTAACATTGTATGTCAATGATGTCTCAATTAAAAACTGAAATGTTGATACACGTGACAACATGGAGCCTCAAAATATTTATGCCAAGTAAAAGCAGCTCCACCGGAGAGTGGACACCCTGATTTCCACAACAATGTAGACAATCCAAACTGATCTCAGCTGGCAAAGCAGGTAAGGGGTGGGAGGAGGAGGCAGGTGGTACAAAAGGCACGAGTTCATTATCTCGATCATGGAGGCGATCCCACGGATGTATACAACTGCACACTTTAAACACGTGCAGTTGCTCACACGTTCAGTTTTCAAAGACCCAAAAAAACACGTTGTAAGACCTGATCTCCAAGCGCCTGAGTCAACACTCCTGCTCGGGGCTGTCGGTAAGCACCTGGGACCAGCAGCAGGAAGCCAGTGGCAGGGTGGCACCGAGGTCGCTTCTGCTCCCAGAGAGGACCGCCTGAACTGCAGGCTAGGGCTCTGGGGGCTGGAGAGGCACCGACAACAGGGTGCCTCAGAGCCCCCCTTCCTTACCAGGTCTTTCTGGATGGACAGGATGCGACTCCGGGCAGCCTCGCAGTTGGCTCGCTTGCCTGTGATGATGATGGTCTCTGAGTTGCTGTTCTCGGCTGGAAGGTCAATCTTGGTGTTGCTTTCTTCCCGGATCTACAAGGAGAAGGGTAACCATGAAGAGCTGACTACCAGGTGAGACCCTTGTTATTTGCAGCCGGAATGGCGCAGGGCTGTGGGGGGCAGGGCGAGAAGAGCCAGGATCAGGGAACAAGCTGGCCAGTCACCTTTTTAATGTTTGCGCCTCCTTTACCAATGATGTTCTTATGAAACTGTTTGAAGATCGGAACAGAGATCGAATAGCTATTTTCCACCTTAAAAAAAGCAAGACATGCACAATGAACATGCGTGCCAGAGCATGAGGTGCCCTCTCAGCCCCAAGTGCAGCACGGGACCATGGGCCTGGCTCCAGAACAGACTTCCACCCTACGTCTAACCTTCGGAGATGTGTCACGAGGACGGTGAGGCAACTATCCAACAACTGACCAGCCTGGCACGTCACAGCTGACGGATTCAAAGTCCCTTATAAAGAGCGGCACGCCCCAGAAACTGCCACCTGTTAGTGCAGGTCCCACAGTCCAGAAGCCATCAAGTCTGGCCAGGGGCCCTCAGCCAGCACTCGGGGTTAAGATGGAGTTCACGCCACACTCAGGGCGAGAGCTGGCTGGGGACTGACAGGCCAGGACTCCAGGTTTCTGAGACGTGAGCTCAGGACACAAACCGATGCTGCCCTCGTCAGGACCCCCGGCGTTCCAGGGCACAGAGACAAGCCCAGCGCTGGGTAGCCCTCCCCGTCCTCCGGCTCCGGGGGCTACAGGCTACAAGTGAGCCGCGTGAGGAGGTATGGAGATGACACATCGGGCAACAGCCCCTCCCGCTACTTGTGCCAATCTCCCCAGACCGGATGGACAGCTTCTCTAGGCTTCTGAAGACCCCTCGAAGAAACAAAGCGACGTGGCATGGGAAAAGGAGGATCTTCCCACTAATTCCAAGAACACTCAAGTCGTGACAACTTCTGCCGTCTAACATCAGGAGTTGAGAACAGTATCACTACAGTGCACCAAGCCCCCGAGACGGCACACCCATCTAGCGCCCAAGCATGCTCCCCAAAGCAGGTGTTCTGGTGGCACCCCCAACCCCCAACACTGTCACCCAACAAAGGATGGAAAATGTCCCCTACCAAATCTGCCACCATCTTCTGCATGTATTTTGTGCATTTTTCCACTTCATTCTTGGGCCCTCTGAGTTGGACAATGTCGCTTTTTTGTGCTGGGTCTGGGAAGTTGATGATAACCTAAAATAAATCATCAGGAGACCAAGTTCGATGAGTGACAAGAAGCCTAATATGGAACGCTGCCCAGTGCGAGTCCCACGACTCCCCGAGGCTGGGACACTAGCCATCACCTCGGGGAACTTGTCGCGGATCTCCCGGATGCGCTCGCCCTTCTGCCCGATGATGGTGCGATGGAACCTCTGCTCGATGATAAGGTCCCGGGTGCGCTCGTTCTCCTGAAACACAGTGACGTCGTCACACGCAAGGTGGGTGATTCCCCACGCGGCACCTCTGGGGTCCCTGGACAGGAGAGTCACCTGCTCTGTCCAACAACCGCCACAGGGCCCAGCACACTGGGCACAGGTCCTTCTCCTGAACAGGGTCCAAGGACACAACTGAGGAGGGCCCGCCAATCAAAATGCTACCGCAGTGGCCAGTCACCAAAGCAGGTCACTTAGTGGCTCTGTTTTAACTACAACTAGACTGTGAGGTCTGGCGCTGTACAGAGCAGGAGTGACCCTCCTGAACATGAGGCAGCCTAGGCAACTCCCCTCCCTGTGTGGGTGATTAAGAAAATGGCTCAGCACAGGGCACAGAATGCACACGGGGTCTAGCCTCCCAGAGGCCCATTAAATGTCAGAAGAAACACAAAGGACCAAGTGGAGGGCAGGGAAGACCAGCTGCCAACCAACATGTTAGAGAACTCTGGGAGATTCAGGATCAGACTGACACCACTTCACAGAGAAACGAGGGTTTAGGGATTTAGCAACAGGAGCCCCCAGAGCCAGGGACCCTGAACGGTTAGGACAAAACTGACCGACGAAGGGCAGAACCTGGGGCACTCGGCTGAGGAGTGAGCTTGGGGATGGCCGGAGGGCAGTGGCAGGCCGTGCCGTGCTGTGCCCTGCATCACAGCTAAGGAAAGTGACATCAGTGCCGTGAGGCAGGTCTCTGATTTGTGGCCCTGGCACAGTGCTGGTGCGAGAGTCAAGGCACTACCTGGGGTGAGTGACAGCAGACCCCAGGTTGTGCCGCGCCGCCCCTGGGCTTTCCTGAGTGTGCACACGTGCACTGCATGCACTCCTGCAGTACGGGACTCACTTGGGTTCAAGGGCACTGATTGAGTCTGAGTCACATGCAGCCCAGCCGAGGGCAGCTCAGTATGATAGTCTGGGGAGTCGGGCACAAGGCCCCTGCTCAGCCCCTCGCCCGTTTGCACATAACCTCCCAGCAATGACTGTCCACCTGGTGCCTTTAAGAATCCAGCGCAGTCCACCCCAGTCCCTGGGTAGGTGCTCAGGCCTCACGGACTCCAGGCTTTGGTGCTCACTGCAGAGCCCCAAAACCCCACCAGCACAGCCACCTGCCCGACAGTGACCTGGTGACTGCCACCCTCAGGAGGGCGCGGGCAGTAGGCCGCTCTGCAGACGCAGGCGGCTCCCGCAGCGGGCCTACCATGCGCGAGGCGAGCTCCAACAGCTCCCGCTTGGCTTGCTGCACGCCCTGTGGGTCCCCCTCAATGCGGATCAGGTTGCTCTTCTCGCTGTCAGGAGGGATGCGCACAGACACCTTGTACTGGTCTTTGATCCTGTTGACTTCAGGACACAAAAGGAGACACAGTTCGCACTCAGACTCGACTCCACTCCACCAGTGACACCAGGGCAGAGCCTCCAAGGCACCTAATCGTCACCCCACAAGCAGAAAGGCCACAGGGGCCCCCAAAGCAAGTCTGTCTGTTCTCTAACCCAAGGCAGGTCGCCCCCACACTGCGGGCCACACGCCTCCGCCTGGCGCCTGGGAGCTGACTGCCCTGGAGTGCGGCTGCCGCTCTAGAGCCCAGCAGGTCCTTGAATAACGTTTTCTGCAACATCCTTTCCTTATGAGACTGATGAGAAAAAAAAATCAAATCCTGGCCGGGCCACCGTCTGTGTGGAGCTGCATGTTCTCCCCATGTCAGTCTGCGTGGGTTTCCTCAGGGACTTCGGGTTCCTCCCACGTCCCAGAGATATCATGTTGGGTTAACTAGGAAATCTACATTGTCCTCGTGTGAGTGGGTATGGGTGTGAGTGGCCCTGAGCTGCCGGGAGAGGCTTGGGGTCCCCAGGACCCTGAACTGGAGTAAGTGGGTTGGGAGAGAATTATCTCACTTGTTTCTATTCGTCTTTCTTAAACTTATGTAGAGCTTGCACTTATGTCAATGCTTAACATTAGAAGTGTTTTGGGTCTTTATTTAGAGGCTGGGTGATGTTTTTGTGAGTAGGAATATGTTGTAGGGACTTAGCTCATGTTCATCTCATCAGCCTTGGGTCAAATTGGTTTTGTTACACATGTTTCCCTTAAAGCCAGTTTCCAGGAACCTATCGATGACGTAAGTGAGGACTCACTGTATAGAAAAGACCTCAGCTATTTCTAATGTGAAGGCAAGTTTGGGAACCACAAACTAAAAAAGTGCGCTCTCTCTCTCTCTAAATAAATAAGCATTAAAAACCATTAGAAATCAGAAGCCTCACATTGACTGAAGAGAGGAGCACCCCGTCAGCCACCTGAGAGCCCCATGGAGGCCATGCTGCCACCCAAACAGACCCCACTGTCAGTGCAGCTCCAAACTGAGCACTTCTCTCTTTGCAAAAAACGTGGGGTTGAAAACCCTCCTCCCGTCACCTTCTCTGGAAAGAAGCCAGAGCCTGTGGTCAGGCCCAGGCCCCCACATCCTGGAGAAGCCTTCTCCCCAGGAAAGGGACCAGCACTGGGCCCGATGTGTAGTAAGGGGGAGCCACACTCCTTGGAGGGACACCAAGACGGGTTCTGAGCACAGAGGCAACCAGGAGCCAATGTGCGTAGGGACAGGATGAGGCGGCACTGTTCCCAGGTGGGCCCATGTAGGACAATGCGAGCTGAGGACAGAAACTGGGCATCAGGTTTTAGATTATGACAGAAAATGAGGGTTAGGAACTGAACCAGAAGAAAACAGAACAGATACAGTTCTTCGAACCATGCTAAGTGGGTCCACACTTCCTAGGGCGCAGAAACCAGGAATGAACATCGGAACTGCACTTCCTTATACTTTTCTGTTGAAGAAAACACTACAGTTAACCAGCACAGCATCGAGTTCGTAGTACGCACACATTCAAGCAGCGAGCGCCGACTGCAGCTGTGCTGTGCATGGGAACCTCACCCTCTGTTCACAGGCTCCCAGAACACGAGACTGACAACAAGAGAGCGACAAGCCTACAAGCAAAGGAGCAGGCTGTGGAACACACCACCAGTTCAAACTGATCACGAGCTCATGATTGGGGCGTTAGGTAGTGAGGAGTACAAAAGCCTGGACTGCACCCCAGCAGGTCTGGTGGAAACATGAAGGACGGAATCCTGGGGTGTGACTTCACCATGGCCGCTGTGGGTTAGGCAGGACCGAGCAGGTCGGTCACGTTCACCTCTGAGCCAAATGGTTCCAGGCTGCCGCGGCCGGAGGAGATGAGAACATTCAGTCAGAACCCGTGACTCCTCCCAGCCTGACGTGTGGTGCCGGCCCGAGCCAACTACACTGCCGCCCGCAGAGGGTCCCAGCCACCCGTCCGCTGCCACCCTGCTGGGCCCACTCACTGTTGGCTCCGCTCTTCCCAATGAGGTGCCTGTGGAACTTATGGTCGATGCTGACCTCCACGTAGTCCATCCGGTGGCTCTGCAGGAGCACAGAAAGAGGGGGCCTATAGCGACAGGCACTGCGCCACGAGACGTGCTATGGAGCCAGGACCACAGTCCAGAGGCCGGCAGCTGTCCCCTCTTCTTACCACTCAACTGTCGGGGACTGCTGCAAGTTTATCCTTCTGGTCCCTTTGAAAGACTTCTTTAAAACAAGGTCTCCTTTACCCATGACGCTACGGGCCTCTGGCCAGCTTCTCACTGCCTCAGAGCCCGTCACTCAGCGACTGTGGGGCCCGACTGCCACGCAACACCATTCCAGCCTCGTCCCCACCCAGCACGTGAAACACTCAGAGAGGCGGATGCCTTACCAAGTCTTTCACCATGGCTTCGATCTGTTCCTGGGCCACATTTACGTCCTCCGTGGGGCCTTCCAGGGTGATCTTATCCTCACCCTCTGTGAACTCGATGTGAACCTATCACACCAAAATGAGGAATGGGACAGTCAGGACAGAGGGCAAAGACCCCTGAGAACCCATGGGTGCTTCTCTGGGGCAGCAGCCAGTCACAAAGTGCTTCATATAAATGCACAGCCACGGACACCATGAAAAGTTGGAAACCGGGGCTGGGGGACCACCCTTATTTGGGCGCTAAATATTGTGGTCTAAAGATCTCTGCCAAAATGGGCACTGCCAGTCCTTCACACTACGCTTGCCACCAAACCTTCCTGTTTTCCTGTATCGTTCTCACGCTTACATGCCCACTCCTATTTGGCTGCATGAACAATGAGACAGATAAGAGGCGTGCAATTTTCACTCAAGCGTAGATACCCGAAAGTGGGCCACAGAGAGTGTATCACACACCAGGAAAGGCGGTGATGCATGAGAGGGTAATACGGGGGACTGGCTCCATGGAGCAATCACATCCGTGTGAGTCAGGACTTCGAACTTAGAAAGTCAAGTGACAACGAGTAACACGGGAAGCGAAATCCAAACAGAATAGGAAAACAAGACGATGGACGTGTCCTATGCCTCCCACCCTGTTCATGTTTACTGGGAACTACTGTCCCCTTTGGAGAGCTGTGAAGACCTCGAGGACATGTGGACAGGAAGACAAGGCCCATGAACCCGACACTTCACACAATTTGTACACAAGTTCCCAGGTATAACCCCTAGGGAGTTAGGAGGCCACAGTGACTCAATGACATGGATCTTAAGACAGTCATCAAAACTAGCAGTACACATTTTCTCTGATTAAATGACCAAAAGAATGAGTTATTTTTTAAACACTTACTCTGATGTCTGAAAAATGTCCAGCCTTCAAAGGAACCCACAGCAGGATAACCAGCAACCACAAAATGAAGGTCAGAACAGGGCTACAGAAAGCAGGCCCGCGACCACCTGTGCCCGCTCACCTTTGGCATCTGCTGAGTGATTCTGGCCAGATTCTGCCCTTTCTTGCCAATGATGAAACGGTGAAGCCAGGAGGGAGCGCAGACGGAGGAGACTGTGAAACTGTTGGCCTAGGAGACCAGGAAACACCCCGGTGGGTTTGCAGGACCCAGGCCATGTGGGCACCAGGTGGCTCACCGGGGCGCAGAGACACTGAGGGCCGCCCCACCACGGCCCTGGGTGCACTGCGGGAGAGAGTACCTTGGCATAGACTTCAGTCAGCGCCTGCCCCAGCTTTTCTGGCTCGCCTCGAAGTATCACAGTCTCAGAGGCGCTGTCCGAAGGCGGGATCTCCACAGAAACGCCAGTTCTCTCCAGGATCTCCTGTAGGGAGTTCCCCTTGGGCCCGATGACATACTTGTGCTGGGACTTCTTCACCTCCACAGCGATTGTTGTGGTCTTCTTTTTCTGAAACATCACAGGGTGTCAGGGGGAAGGGCACAGAACGCTGCCACCGAAAGGACAGGGAGCAGGACACAGGCCCGGGCAACAGCTGTTGAGCCCCCGGAAGGGAAGATGATGACCAGCCAATCCCCAGGAACTCTACTCATGAAGGGTTGGGTTTGCTCCTGAAAAGAATTTACCTGAGGACCTAAGCCACACCAGACTGATAACTGCGAGTTGGGAGAGCTGAAAATACCAAGTCCTCTCCCCAAAATAAGGAACCAGTTTTGGACTTGACAGTCCCCAACCTGAGCTAAGTTTACTCAAAGACGAGATCAGTCAGTTCTGCGTGGTGCGTCCAGCCCTGTGGCAGCCCCAGTCCAGGGTGGGGAGTGAGGGTGGCAAGTGGTAGGGACAGCCTCTGGCACAGAGCTCAGCCCTGGCGAGGGTTAGAAGGCCAGGGGCACGGCTGGACCCCAGCCACTCTCTGCTCCTGCCCATGGGGACCCCTCCCAACGCTACCTTCTCTTCATAAATCTTCTTGACTCGAGCCACAGCCTGAGCCAGCTGCTCCTTCTCTCCCGTGAACACGATTTCCGTCCGGTTGACGCTGGGCGGGGGGATGTTGATCCGCGTCCCAGTGTCCTGCATTATCTCACCGACCAGCCGATTATAAGGCCCAGCAATGAAGGGGTGGAATGCCTTGTCCACCTCCAGCCTCTCCACAGCTCGTCTGTCCTGCTCGGCAGAGATGAGCAGGACCTCGTGGCGTGCCTTCTCGATGCCCTCTCTGGTGCCCGTGATCCTGATGTGGTTGCTCGCGTCCTCTGGGCGCGGGATCTGAATTTTGGTTGCAGTTTTTAGCTCCAAGTCCTGTAGCTTCTCTCCATTTTTGCCGATAACAAAGCGGTGGTGCTCCTTGGGGATGGCAACAGTGGCTGAGGCCTACAGCAGGGAGAGAACCAAAGGGACAAAATATTGCCAGTACCGGAGGAGCCTACTGACCCCCATGATCTCTCTGGCTAAAGGCCACGCTCACCTGCTCTGGCCGAGCCGGCCCCCACCATTCTTTGGAACAGTCTCAGGTAAACACCAGGTGGGGAAGCCCGCCCTGACTCCCGGCTAGGGGATGCTCAAGTGTGATATAGTCCCACGGTCCACATCACACCTACAGTTACCATAAAATCTTAGGGGTAGTAATTATTTGTTCACCATCTTCTCAGCCTAGCTACAAGCCATCATGAGGACAGGCATCTGTCTGTCTTGTTTTGCACGTCAATGATTTCTAACGCCATACTGGGACCCGGCAGGAAAGCAGGGGCATACTGACCAACTGGATTAATATTTGCTTCTGGAGTACTTGGCTATTTTCTTTAGACATGAGCCCTATGTCTAGTAATAAACTCTCCTTCCTAACTCTTTTACAACCTAAGTTAAAATAACAACTTATCTAAGTAAAGAACATGGAAATAAGTCCAACCCTTCATCCCATGAGTTAAGCTGTCAGAAATCAAGCAAATTCCTGAGGTCACAGGGAAGCTGGGGAGGAAGACCGAGGCTTCGTCCTCCTAACTCTGTATAGAAAACAGCCATCAACTAAGAGGACTTAAAAAAAAAAAGGAAAGGGTTAAGGTTCCCACCACTGGCACAGCATAAAGTCACCCATCAGCCAGCTTCCCTTCTTCCCCAAGCGACACAATTTTACAGCAGACTATTCAACATTCACAACAGAAATGTTAAACTGCATCACAGAGGTAATAAAAAAGGTCCTGCCTCTCGTCCCAAGTAGCACACACAGGAAGACGACTTGCTTATATTATACATTATGATCAAATGAGGTTTATTCCAAAAACAGTTCAAATATTAGGAAATCCATTTATATAATTCATCATATTATTAGATCTATTGACAAAACAAATCAAATGATCATTTCTACAAAATTTAAATCCATTCATAACAATCTGCAACAAAGTAGAAAACATGACACCGGTTTGAATTGCCTGGATCCACTTATATGCAGATTTTTACTGTATTTTGAACACAATAAACATACACCTCAGCCCCAAAGCTTTTCTTAACTTCGAGGAAAGCGCTCACTCACTATGGCTGTGCACTGCCCACAGCAGGACTTCACCTTCCCTGGGGTATTTCACCACAAAGGAGATGAGAAAGCGAAGCAGACCACATAGGCTGGACGGGAAGAGGCACGTGACTACACACTGGAACCCTGGGGAGCCCCTGTGTTATTAAATCCTTACTGTCTACAACAGGGAGGGCAGTTAGAATGCAAAGTCAACAGCTTCAACTCAGCTAAAAACAAAGACCGCCCATTTCCAATAAGCAAAAGAAAGAAAGAGGGACAAAGTACTAGGCATAAAACCAGCAAGAGAGGCAGGATATGTGCAGTAGAAATCAGAAAATACCCCTTAGAAAAGGGGCTGGCAAACTTTTGAGATGAAGAGCAGCAGGGGTCATCGGCAAAGTGCGGCTTGGCTTGGCTCACGAGCCACATGTGGCTCTTTGGTATGTACATGTGGCTCTAAAGTGAAAATGAAAATAAAACTATCAGAGTTTATAAAATTTTTAAAAGATATTATTCACATAATGGTGATTATGTAAAAATATATCTATGGCTCTCGAATAAGTTTTAAATTGTTGTGAGGGACAGGATTGGCTCTTCCAGGGGTCAGCAAACTTTAGAGATGGAACGTTCCCAAAGAGCTGCATGTGGCTCACGAGCCGCAGTTTGCTGACCCCTGACTTAGAAGATCTAATGCAATTCTGAGCAAAAAGTTGATTATAAAACGTGCTATGGTAAAACAGAAAATAATACAACAGACAAGAAAACTGAAGAAGAACAGTACAGGAGGGATGGTAATAACTATGCCACTGAGCTAATGAGTACACAGAGACCACAGGTCTGAAGTGAAAACCCAGGAACAGTTAATGTGAAAACGTAGGATTTGGTTGATGACTGGACAGCCATATGGAAAAGAATGAAACTGGATCTAAACCTCACACAATTCATGATAAATTCCACAGAGATCAGGAACTGAAATATAAGAATACACTTACAAGCACCAGAGAAAAAATATGAATAAACTTTTTCACAACCGGGAAGTGAAAAAAACTTTCCCAACAATGACTCAAAATAACAAAATGTTTAATAAATTTGCAAGAAAATAAAGCCTTGATCTTCCTCCCTGGTTTCTTTGTGCCCTCAGGAATTTGCTTGATTTCTAGCAGTTTAACTCATGGGACAAGTGGTTTGGATCTATTTCCATTTTATTTTTTGTTTTTTAAAGATTTATTTTTTTTACTGGGGAATTGGGGAAGGGGAACAGTGTTGGGGGATTGGGGAAGGGGGACAGCCAAGTTGTTGTCCTTCAATCTTAGTTGTGGAGGGCACAGCTAGCTCAGCTACAAGCCCAGTCACCATCCAGCTGCCTATCGGCAGCTCATGGCCACTCAGCTCAAGGTGCTGTTTTCAATCTTAGTTGCGGGGGAGGCATTGCCCACCATCCCATGTGGGAGTCGAACTGTCAACCTTGTTGTTAGGAGCACGTGCTCTCACCAACTGAGCCATCCTGCCACCTGTTGACAACTCAGCGGCAGCTCAGCTCGGGCGCAGCTCACTGGCCCATGTGGGAATCAAACCGGCGATCCTGTTGCTCAAAGCTCGTGCTCTTAACCAACTGAGCCCCTCGACTGGCCCTATTTCCACTTTCTTAACTGGTTGTAAAAGAGACAGGAAGGAGAGCTTATTACTAGATGTAGGGCTTACATCTTTTCAAAGGACACATCACGATCAAAACCAAATGGCAGGGCTGGCCAAGTGGCGCGTTGGTTAAGAACTGGCTTGGGATGCCAGAGGGCCCCGGTTTGGATCCCACATATGAGGGCCAGTGACACTGCCTTCAACAGCTAAGACGCTGAACAACAGCTCAACCTGGAGCTGGGTTGGCGTGAGTCATTGGCGACGGCGTAGGCTGCAGCCCCTGCTGCAGTGGGTTACCATGGGCTACCGTGTGTAGCCAGCAGCCAGCGTGAGCGGCCAGCAGCCGCTTTGAGTGGCCGTCCAGAGCCCGGCGACTGATCTGCCTTGCCCGGGAAGAGCGCAATGATGGTGCCAACTTGGGCCAGTGAAGCAACGTCCTCCACAACTAGACTGAAGAACAAAAGGACAGCAACTTGTCTGTTCCCCTTCCCCCCAATTCCCCAGTGTTGTTCCCATTCCCCAATTCCCCCAATAAAAATCTTAAAACAAACAAAAAAACCAAATGGCAAAGTGGGAAACGTTATTTGTAACTTATGTGACTGATGAAGGGTTTTTAAGAGCCCTAACACACTGAGCAAGGTAGACAACTTTAAGTTGATAAAGAAGAGCAAAACAACAGACAGTGCACAAAGAAGATGCAACAGGCCCTCAGATGCTGAAAAGGTGCTCCATCTTGCTCATCAGAAAAATGCAATTAGAAGAATACTCAGCTACCTTTCAGAGTGACACACACCCAAGCACTGGCTGGCCTGGCAAGGCCTTGGGGGGGCGATGGAGTGGAGGGCACAACCCCAAGGCAGGTACCTGGCTACTATGGCCAAGTCACAGCTGCAGATTCCCTCTGACCCAGACATCTCGCTCTAGGAAACCGATCCCAACATACACTGGGCAAAACAGGACAGCACACACACGAGGTTTTTACTGTGACCTAATTCCTAAGAGCAAAAGTCTGGAAGTCACGCAAATGTCATCGGCAGGAATGCCTGAATAAATGATTGCACCCACAGAGCATCACGCAGCTGTGTGAAGCAGCCAGGAAAGCCACTGTGTGCAGACAGTCGATACCTCCAGAAAACACGTAGGAAAAACAAGGCGCAGAACAGAGTTTATGGCAAGCTATCTACCTTTTGCTTCAATTCTCAAATTCAAACAATGAGAGGATACACCAAGAATGCCCCTGGGCAGGGTGGGTAGGAACAAGGTGAAGAAACTGTCTCTGGAGGCACCTGATTATGCAGCTCTGCCTCTGCAATCATGGGATGTTTCTGTAACTCCCCCCACCCTCCCCTCCGAGCCGTTCTTCTCAGTCTAGTTGTGGAGGACGCCGCTACCTGGCCCATGTTGGTATTATGATCACTGCGCTCTTCCCACTGAGGCGGTTGGTCATCAGCGGTCGGATGGCTGCTCATGGCAGCTCTCACTGGTTGCCAGCCACTCATGTCAGCTGTGGGCCACGGTTCATGGCAGCCCAGCTCCAGGTGGAGCCGTTGTTCACAATCTTAGCTGTAGGGGGCGTGGCTTACTGGCGCAGCTCACTGGCCCATGTGGGAATCGAACTGACAGCCCTGTTGTTCAGAGCTCACGCTCTTACCAACCGAGCTACCTGGCCGCCCCTGTTTTTGTAACGTTTAAAAACTGAAAAGAAACTAAAGCGAATGAACCTAACCATAGATCAAGATGATAGCATAGCCTGAACAGAATTACTTCAAGTGATTTTAAGCCCCCCAGTCTTTCACCTCAATTAGAAGTACCAGTTTTAACTCATGCAACTTCCTACTAAAAATGTCCAAATTCTTGGACAAACAGCTAACTTCGGGTCTGTGGAAAGAAATGGGTAAGGTCTGTCCACACCCGTCTGTGTTAGGAATCACGAAGTGATCGGAGATGAATGGTCCTATCAGAAAGCTGCAAGGAGCCAACCGGAAGGGTTCCAACCCCTGGCCAAAGACGAGGCAATGTTAGCATAAAGAATAACTAATATCCACATTCAAAGTTCATAATCATGCTAAAAAGATCCACGAATCACTAGTGAAGAGGTGAGAGCGCCAATTTAGTGTCAAACTTCGGGGGAAGGAGAAGGACCAGTGATTTACCCTGCACCTTCCCACCTGAGGTGCTGAGGAGGGAAGGTCTTCCCAAGGACACCAAATGATGCGGGATGGGAGGGGGCAGAGCCGCCGCCATTTCCAGGAGCCAGGCAGTCACCCAGCACGCCTGGTGAACTACTGAGAAAAGGTTGACCAGGAACTTTCTAACAGAGGCCCGGGGCTGAAGACCTCAGTCTACTGATCAACCTTGGAATCAAGACCAAGTACACAGCACCACCCACAGTCTTTCCTGCCAAACAAGCTGACTGGGAAAGGAACCAAGCCCCAGTTTACAGGAAATAGTGATGACAGTGGACCAACCAACCAGACAACTGCTTGCCCCCAACAGCACTGAGAAAGAGGGGACGGGCCACTGCCAAGGAACACGAGGACCAGCACATAGGCACGCAGAGGGCAGCCCTCGTGTGGACACGGATTTGCACACACCACACTGGACGGACATCTCTGAGATAACAAGGGACGTCCATACAGAGACTGGGTTGAATATGGATGTCTTCCGAAATTAGCTAATTTTAATAAGTGAGTTAACAGCATAGTGTTATACAAAAAAAAAAGACTCAGGTGCCACACTGAATTATTTACAGGAGAATGTGCTTCTGGGGGAGGCAGGGGAATGGAGCAACTCGGGCACCAATGCTTTCAAAGTGTCCCCTCCCCCATCCAGTGCTCAATCACAAATTACTCCAATAGCCACCAACCAGGGCCCACTATACACCAGCCACAACGGGAAGCAATTGATACCCAGCGTTTTCTACTTCCTATATTTACTGACTTAACCCTGGAGATGGCAGGGGTGAGGGGCTGTCCCCAGGCCCCACATGGCTGAGAGGGTGGAAGAGATGGGAGGGCACGGGCAGTGTTCTCCGCCCTGTCAGCCCCTGGCCCCTCTTGCATCATGTCCCCATTTCTTAAAGCTGTATCTGTCACATGACATTTTTGTAAGATTCTCTACAGCAGCGGTTCTCAGCCTATGGGCTGCGACCCCTTTGGGGGTTGAACGACCTTTTCACAGGGGTCGCCTAAGACCATCGGAAAACAAAAAGATATTTACATTACGATTCATAGCAGTAGCAAAATTACAGTTATAGAGTAGCAACGAAAATGATTTTATGGTTGGGGGTCACCACAAAATGAGGAACTGTATTAAGGGGTCGCGGCATTAGGAAGGTTGAGAACCGCTGCTCTACAGAGAACCTTGGTCTGTAAGCACTTCCTCTCCAGGAGAAACGGCCCATACGTTTCCTCAGGTATCACAATGGTTCCCAGGTCAGTCCCAGTACTGGTCCCAGACTGCTGAGCACTGTGCAGTGCCTTAAAAACTAACCAAACCTCCACTGAAACCTTCAAGTCTGGGGCTTGGCCATGTGCGTTTAGCAACACACATTTGGTGATGCGTGTCCCTTGCACTTGCCACTGAAGACCGACACCTGGGTCCTCACTGTGCCACCCAGCAAGCTCAGTTTCTTTGAAGTCTCTCACTCCGTGACAGCTTTTAACTTCAGCTCATTCACACAAACAGCACAAGCAGTGGGCGTCCACCTCAAGCGCTCGTGGGTGGGTTCTTACTGGAAATCCCAGGAGGCCCCAAACACTGTTGCTCTGCCTCTGAACTATGGGCCTGCCCGCGACCCCACCCCACGTGCCTGTGGAACCAGGGGCACAGTGCCAGAGCGCTCACCCAAGAGGGCCAGGCCTGGGAGCACCCACCTGCGTCTGCAGCCTCGCCACGATGTCCTTCCGGGCCTTCATGACGGCGTCCAGCTTCCCAGAGACCATGATGGAGAGGCCCTGGTCTTTGGCAAGAGACAGCTCCAGGTGGGCGCCGGTCCTCTGCATGATCTCCAGGCAGATTTTCGCTTGTTCACCTTCTCCAAACTGGTTCATGTCCTTGTATTTTCTCTCCTCCAGGGGTACATGGAACACCTGCTCAGAAAAGGCCAGAAAAGGAAGGTTCAGCGATCAGGAGAGAGGGAAGGGTGTCTGAGTGTCCAGGCACCGCATGACCGAGTGTCTTCATTCCCTCAGTACCAGCCCTCTCCCCACGCACTGCAGTTAAGAGGTGAGCAGAAAGGCCTGCGGTCAAGGGGCTGACACGAGTGAAGCAGCGAACTGCACCTGATACTAATGACCAGCAAGGGAGCGAAGAAAAGGAACAGGGCGGTAAGCGAGGCTGGCTGGAGGTGGGTGGAAGGGACATACAAGGGTGGCCAGGAAGGCCCTTCCAGAGGAGTCCAAGACGTAGCCGGCTGTGCCGGGAGGTGAAGAGCGAGAGTGAAAAGACACTGACACAGAGGCAGATGTGGGTGCAGCCAGGGGGAATAAGGAGGGGCCAGAGCCCTCAGCTGAGCCAGCAGCGAGAGGAGGCGACGAGGGCCTCTAGCAGGACCCATTCTGACCGCTGGCTCAGGAGCACCCAGCCTCTCTGTGGAGAAGGGATCGAGCAGAGAGGCAGGGGCCTGAAGCTCAGGACGACGTGGTGCATTTAACAAGATCAGCAAGCCCGTTCCGTCTCGCACGCCCACCAGGAGGATGGGAAGACCCAGGACGCAGCTGGTTATGAATCCTGGGTTTAAGGAAGGGGGCCTCTCAGCGCACGGGGGTAGTCAACCACCGTGACCCAACATGAGTTCACAAAGAGAGAAGCGCTGAGCCCACCAACCCCCAGCTTCAGGTAGCAGGCAGGCTAGTGAAGTAAAAACCAAATAAAAACAAAGCCAGGAAAACGGTGTCACCATTCAGCCAAACAGTGTCAGCCAAAAGGGAAGCCTGCTTCCAGACGGTGGGACAAAAGGTAGAAGAGAGAGACAAGGTCTTGCCGGAGTTGGTGATGCGGGAGCCAAGGGCAGTTTCCGTGGATGGAGCAGACTAGGTTGCAGGGGACTAAAAAACACAAGGGGACCCACTGCTGGGTATGGGCACACCGTGAGTGTGGGCGGCTGCCCTGGGGAGGGCTGCGCCGGCGTGGGAGCTGACCGAATCCCAGACTCCCCCCCCTCCACCATGTCTGCGGGCTCAGACCCTCCCAGCAGACGCTGCGCTGCCGCCTCCCTGGAGGGACCAGTGAATGAGGTGCAGGGTCTCTACCTGAGTGATGACGGACGCCTTGATGGGCCGGATCTTGTTACTCCAGGCGCCGGCGGGCTCCTGGGCACTTTCCAAGCAAGCCGCCTTCTCAGGGAGTGGGGGGAAGGCATCCTTGTAGGTTGGAGGGTCGCTCTCTTCTTCTGAATTTAAAGTGGCAACTGGACCAGCCAACACAGAGTGAGAGGAAGCACACTGCTTCAGTATCAGGTGAAAAAAACACTCAGAGGGTTGTAATATCAACAGAAAGAACATTAACTGCTAGAGTGACAGCTCCCCCATCCCCTCATTCAGCCATGGGAAAGGGCCTGGAGGTCGCCAGGCCCAGCATGTGAACCAGGGGGCCAAACGCTGAACCTGATGGCCACCTGCACTCCAGGCCTTCGCAAAGCCTCCCTTGTGAATGGTCAGCTCAGATCCCGGGCGCCCCATTCTCCCTAATGGGGTGAGCCCCTTGAAGACAAGCCATACTACAGGGATTTTTAACCCCTCAAGAATCTTCTAATCCTATATTTTTTTAAAAATCACAATTCTGACAATGCCTGGCACAGAGCCTGCCCTGAAATTTGCAGAATACCGGTCCCATGGAGCACTGCCTGTGAGAACTGCCTCCGTTTCACACAATGTCACCAAGAACTCCAGTGGGCACTTCTGGTCTCGTGGCCCCCACCCTCCACAGGGAGCAGCAAGCCTTGTGGAAATCAGGCCCCCACTCACTACCCTTCCGTCTTCTGTCGCACCCTCACCCGTGGTTCAATTTTCCCAATAACTCAGCTCCATGAGGGCAGGGGTGGGACTGTTTGGATCACCCCAATGCCTGGGGCCAGGCACGGCAGGGCCCAGTTACAGCCACTGTGAACGGGTGTGCGCAGAGCGGGGCAGGACCTTCGGAACCGACAGGCCTCATCGGGCTCCATGCTCACTATGTGTAGCCATGCGGCTGGTGCTACCCCAGACACCAGTAAAGCCGCAGTGCTGACAAGCAGCTGGGCTGTCAGTGCCTTGCACCGTCTCGCATTTGCAAAGGGACACAGCGCAGACCCCAGGACTGTGGGTTCAAGTGGAAAGATCCAGGCCTGCAGGCTCTCCAAACCAAAGTGAGCAGCAGTGTCTAGGTCTCCACGGTCCTAAAAATGAGCACTTGAAACGTGGCCAGAGTGACTGACAAAATGAATTTTAAATTTTAATGACTTTAAACTTAAGAATTGATATCCGATTCAGTTATAGAAAACTTAATGTTTGGAACAACCTGAAGTAGAATAATCTACTCTCAACTGACACTCTATAAAATCGAAACAGATGAAGGATTTTAGATGAAAATCTACCATTCAAATCAAGTCGTCCTGCACTTGTAAATATAGAGGGTGCCCCAAAAACATATACACGTTTTAAGAAAAGAAAAAACTGTATTAAAATTGTAACACTCAATATATACCGATAACAAAAGATAAACACAAGTCACGTGTATACATTTTTTGGGCACCCCCGGTATATACCAGACGTGAAGGAAATAAATAACGTAAAAAGGTCAGTTTTTCCTTCTACAAAGCAATGCTGACGTGACGATGTTTAGGCACACTAGCTCATACTACGCCCACTGGACGGACAGCAGCGCTCCCGACCTCGGGAGAGTCCGGGGCCAGCCTTTATCCTCCAGGTGGGCTCCTGGCAGTACTCGGAAGAGGTTTCACAGCCCAGCAATTTTGAGAAAAGAATCCCATTAGTTACCAAGGGTCGAATCCACTGGCTTTCCAAAAGGCTGTCCCCGCGGTACATCTCCCTGTACCCGGATTCACCCATCATTCCTGGCCAATCCCACCCTGTGCTGCAGAACAGAGCCAACAGGACGGGTGGGGCCTGGCTCTACCCCACACCGACACGGTCAACAGGCACTTCTGAAAGGTCACAAGATGTGACAAAGGCTTGGAAGAAATAGTGTCGTAAGCGTTGAGAAGAGCGTGCAGGGGCTGTCACCTTTGATCTGTTGCGGAACCAGCCCACTCCGGTGCTCAGCAAAGCTCTCTTGGGTCAGAACGGCAATGGAGCTCATGGTTGATCCAACGCCTAAACGCAGCCTGGGGGAGCCACTGGAGGAAAGAGCCAGAGGGGAGCAGGTCAGGCGCGGTCAGCCAGCTCTCAGCCACTGGTGCGACTAAGCTGCGTTTTAGCCAAGGGTTTAGCTTTTACCAGCAAACCACACCTTAACTTCCCTCACTTATAACCTCTAACGGAAAGTGAATCCCAAAGGCTCAGCAAGTGAAGAAAAGGAAGGTCCTGGGACAACTGTCCCCTCAAAAACTACCCTGTCAAAACCACAAAAACCACCACCACCCTGTCATCAAGGAGATGGAGGCCCGCAGCTGAGGATCAGTACCAGGCTACCCAGGAGTCACAGAGGCAGTCTGCGCCCCGCCCCCAGGGGCCATGGCGCCCTCTGCCACATCCGACCTAGTGACCCAGCTCGATACCTGGATGGTTCTCCTAACAGCTATCTCAGTTATTTTGTTCACTCATATGCCTCTGGATGCTTATAAAATGTATCACATGACAGCTGCTACCAAACAGCCCATCCAACAGCCGAGGCCAGACTTGCACCCAGGGCCCAGGGAACTGAACAGTCCCACGCTGCCGACGGGAACTGGCTGGGAGGCAGGCAGAGCACCCTGGTGCTTTGCGGCAGCAATGCGGTAGCAAGCAGCAGCAGGGACGCCCAGGAGGACAGTTCCAGGCCTCGGACACATGCCGACTGGCAATTCCTACGACTGGCAATTCCTACGTCCTGTCTCCTGTCGCTCAGGTGTGGGAGGGGACTCGCAGCAGGTGGTACCTGGCACAAGGGCACACACAGTTCCTCAGTTAGGCAGGAACCAGCCCCCACCAGAGTGCCACCGTACTCAATGGGTCTCGGCTCCCAAAGCCACAGCTCCCTTATTTGGAAAAAGGGGCCCATAGCACTGAGTCCAGGGGTGTTAGCTTCCTCCCCCACCCTAGGTGAGCCCCATGCTACCACAGTGAGGGGTTCCCTTGTCACACAACTATGCACCAAGTGCCTTGTGCCACCTTAGAAAAAAATATAAGGACCAAGTAATTTAATTAGAAGAGTGAGTTTTTGCTTAATTCTTACTACTTAGTAAGACCTCTCCTAGCTCAAGAAAATTAAGCTCTATGTTAGAGAGAGGCAAGATTCAAATTCAGATGATCCTGAGCAAACATAACTCACATTAAAGAAAAAAAGATTACAAACAGATGGAAGCCAGATGACACATCTGAAGGGCACACGTGTACCCACTGCGCATGTTGGAGGGTGGAGCTACAGTGATACTCACTAAAGCAGTGACAGAAACTTAAGGATGAAGTGTAATGAAAGACAGTACACAGGCAGCCCAGGGACAGGAAACCTTCAGACAGGACAGTCAAACTTACCAGCAAAACGGTCAGTAGCCAGAAAGTCCGTCCTGAGATCACCTCTGTCAGCCTGCCAGCTTTTGCTGTGTGCACAGGAATGGAGAGAGAACAGGAGAACCAGAGAAGTTATTTATCTGCACTCTACCATCTAGATCCTTTCAGACCGACGAGAAAAAGTCCAAGTATAATTGAAACTTTACCAATATGTGGGCCATTTTCTTGGGGGTGGGGGAATGGAAGCTCTGCTCTTAGGCCCTTCCCTTCAAATGAAACACATTACAGTAAAACCTGAACCACCAAGACCTTTTCGAGGGCAACCTTCCAAGGGCCTGTGGAAGCGACCCCTTCAGGGCCCAAATGCTGCACTCGAACCATTTTGCAGCAAATCCTGGTGAACTCGAGGGCTCGCCACCCTGCGTGGCTAAGCAGTTTCTCTTGCACTGTTCTGGGTCTGACTACTGAGCCTGAAGGAAAAGGTTCTGTGACCCTTTGCCAGGACATGGGACAGATTTGGACCTTGGTGGCTCCTGAGCTTTTAGGGTGACTGAGGGCTTGTCTTCAAAGTCCCACAGTCTCTCTAGTCCAGCGGGCATCAGAAACCAGGCAGTAAAACAGCAGGGTTCAAAGGAACCTTCCAGGGCCACCTGGGGAAGATCAAGAACCACTCTGCGAAGAGGGTGTGGGTCACCTTGCCTCGGGGACCTCGGGATAGTGAGGCTGCCATCCCATGTGCTCGATCAGGTAGACCTCATGACAGGTAAGGCATGGGTCTAAAGTAGGAGTGGATACTAGTAACAGAACCCCCACCTAGCTGGAGAATAACAGTCCCACCCCCATTCTCGCCCATAATACGCGTGGTTCGGGAGCTAGGACAGTTCACAGCCATCGGAGGTATATCAAACGACTCTAGACTGAAAACGGTCCCACTGTCCCAACTGGGATGTGGACCAGTGGCACTTTAGGAAGGCAGGGTGTGAATCACGGGAGAAAAATACTACCACCCACAGACCAGAGCCTCTCTGGGGCCCCAGTCCCACCAGAGAGGTTGATGTACCGAGACCCAAGGGGGAAAGGTGAAGACAAACTAACCAAAACTATTATTTTATTTCGGAATCTACTGCCAAATTCTAATCTGCAAATTCTTAAGGTACAGCAAGGAAGAAAGAAAACCTTTCCATTTAACCCCAGAATCACAGTAGAACATCTGTGTAAAGGGGGCAAGTCCTCCTTGGGATTCTGTGTCTGGCCAGTCCACACTTAGACAGGCTAGAAGCAACATGCAGTGTTCTAGGTCCGAACACTGACAGTGAAGCCAGGACCAGGTGTCCAGCGGACAGCCTTGCTCACAACTCGCACTGGAGCTGCGCACGCTTCTGCCTGCTGACCTTCCACCTGACCAGCCTCCTGCTCTAGGTCAGCCCAGGCGTCATCGTTACTCTTTAGAATACACTGACACCCACCCCTTAAGGAGCCAGGGTCACACATGTGACCACGCCCACGCCCTCACCCTCTCCTGTGCGCCCCCACTGACCAGTCCACCTGCTTTCCTGGACAAGGAAGTCTTCAGTGCCCAGCGACAGGCACACAACAAGCCTGTTGAAGTACAGTCACCGTCCACGTCTGCTCCGGCCACAGATCTGGGCCAAGCCAATCCCCACCCTGCACCTGGTGTCACACACAAGATGGGATGAGTTCCTAAGGTCTCTTCTGACACTGCTCACACACCGTTCAGAAGGCAACTCCAGCTAGCCATCCTACTGAACCTCTGGGTCCCAGTGGCTCAAGGAAGAGGTACCAACGCAAGTAACCTACTGTGTGGGAGGGAGAAGCTGTCGCAGAGCCTCTGACGGCCCCACATGTGCACAGGCCCTCAGGCAGCCGAGGAAGAACAAAGTGGACGAACGTCCAGAGAACTCCAGACTGGTCTGACAGGATACACTGGGTCTCTTAGTCTCCAGATTTCAAATGGCAGTTTGAATTTGAAATGTTACAGGTGAATGGATGACATCAAGCAACAGAATTAGCATCTAAGGTTCTGATATCAAATAAGGCTACTATTTTTCTTATAACCTCATCTTTAAAGAATCCATTTAAAACATGCATCTGGTGACCCAAGCATAAATGCAGACCTCAGCCCCTCCTGAGACTCCGCGGTCAGATATCATAAAAAGCCAGCACTGACCTCTGCCGTCACAGACAACACCCCACAGATTCACTCCTGCCCCACGGAGATCTTTCGATGACCTCACAACAGTGGCTATGCTGGGTGGGTTCTCCAGCCTCGCTCCTTCACTTGCTATCCAAAGTTCCCAGGAGACCTTGTTCTCAGAGAACAGAGGCCAAACGTGTGCTATCACACAGTTCCTCACCTGATGTAATAACGTAGCTCAAATGAGGACTGAAAGAGACAGGAGACGCTGCTCTACTGCAGTCTCTGAACACACGCCACCTCTGTCCGCTGCTGTGCAGCTGTCAGAATACTCTGCCTTACTTTGTGCCAAAACCAACAACTTCTCTCCCCGTTCTGGCCACAGAGCACAAGTCTGCTCTTCCCTACAACACCCCTTTAGATGCGTGAAGAAGCCCTTTCTCCTTCTTCCTTCAGTTATTCCCAAGATGGCCCCCGTCCTTTCATCCTTCTCGGTGCTCCCAACTATTCTCCCTGCACAAAACACTCAGGCCCACCCAACAGAGATCTCAAATTATTCTCAACCTGGACTTTTATTGTTTCTCAGAGGGGGAATGTCCATATCTCAAACAATAAGTATGTAGCAAACGGAACTAGGAAAGGAGGGTAGAGAGAAGCCAAGGTTCTTCTCTCTCAGCCCAGGGTCCCGTCAAGCAGCGACTCCCCATGGGAGAAACATGAAGTCACCCTACACGAGGATTACATCTGAAACTCGGTCCTAATCAGAGACTTTAAATGAAGAATTGTACTTTTTTCCTCTGAAACAACAAGTGTAAGATGATTCCCTTGTGATGTTTTGCCAATTACAAATGCAAAAGAAAAAGTCTTTGCAAAGAGGACTCTTGAGTAATAAGACCAGAGAGAATTTTATCTCCCCTAACTAACCAGAACCGGGGCGCGTTTCATACTAGACAGGCCAGGGTATGGAAACTACAAAACACCTCCAGCTGAAATCCAGGCCCTCTCCTCTCTTCTTCAAAATTAAACTTATTTTTATCCCCACAGCAAACCTGCAAGGGAAGTTTTTTTCAAAGTACTTCTCAGGACCCAAAAGCCAAACTTGAGTATGAAAACGTAAAATCTCGATGGGCTGAGAGATCACAGAACTTCAGTCTCAGAAAGGCCATCCGGCAGCACCAGGACTCGCACGAGGACTTGCGAGTGGCCACCAGGAGGAGGGCATGTGTGCGTTTCGCCAAGTTCTGGAAGTCGGCACCATCCTGCAGGAGGAACTTTCGCAGATGCCACCTCAGCACGGCCCTCCCACAGGCCACGCGAGCCCGCGGGCGGGGACAGGCTTAAAGGGGCAGGAGCGCGCTCGGCCTCCCCGCCTTTCCTCCAAATTCGGTATTTTTCCGTAATGGATTTTTCGTGGGGACCCTGGGGCACGTCCCAGTTGCGCTCCGGCCGGAGGAGGGCGGCAGGCCCAGCACGGACCACGCTGGCGGGCGGGCGGCAGGTGGAGGTGCGCCGGCCTACCAGGCCCCTCCCGCCGTCCGGGCTCCTCTGCGGGACGACATCCGCGACTCTCCCTCCAAGCTGGGGGAGGGGCGCTCCTCGTAGGGGGAAGGGGGCAAAGCCTGGCCGCCCACGTCACCGACCTGGGCCCAGGTCAGCCGCTCCTCCCCCCGCGCAGGGACTGGTTGGGCAGGGGGGTTGAAAGGGAATGCGAGTCTGCGCCCCCACCCTCGCTGTAGCCCAAGGGGCCGGCGCGGAGTAGGCAGGCGCAGGACTCGGGAAAAGTTTCTCACTCTTCCCGTGCCAGCGCCGCGGCCCATGCGCAGTGGTGACACGTAGCCGGGCCCCCCCACCCCCAACCCGGCCAGGCCGGCCCGGGGACCTAGGGACACCCATGGCCTGGGCGGGGAGGAGGGGGACCGGCTGGCTGGCCGGGGTGGGGGGATGGAGGGCGACCCCGGCCCCTCCCCCGCCCGGCCTGCGCTCCACGTCGGCAGCCCGGCCCCGGCCCCGCCCCCAGCGCCCCAACTTCCCCGGGTATCACCCTCCTCCTCCTCCTGCCGCTCTGGGCCCGCGACCCCGGCCCGCAGTGGCTGGTTCGCTCGCTCACTCACTGTGTGGTGCGCTCGCCGCCCGCCCGCCACCCGCGGGAGAAGCCGGCTGCTCCGGGGTTCCCTGCGCTCGCTCCGAGGCCGGCGCACGGGCCCCCGCGACTATATAGGGCGGCGGCTCCAATCCCGCCGAGACACGTCAGACAGCGGCGCCCCGCCCCGCGCCGCCCCGGGGTCCCCGCCCCCGCCCGCGCTCAGGTCAAGGCGCACACGGAGTCCTGCCCAACTCCAGAAAGCAGGGGAGAGCCCCGCACGCGCCGGCAAAAGAAGGGGGCAGGAAGAACTGCCGCTTTCGAAGCGGAGGTCACTAATATCACTCCCTCCCACCCAAAAGAGAAACAGGAAGCCTCGAGGGACAACACAAAGGAAATTAACTGCTGCCCCAACCACTTCCAACTCTCAGTAGCTGGACAACAGGCTGGCTTTAGCCTGACAAGCCTCCTCGGGGAACGACCCAGCCGCCCAGGTCTGGAGCACAGATCTGCACTCCCTCACTCCCCGGGGTCTGCTCCTCTCCTGCTGTAAAACAGGCCCACTCTGTTCCTTGGCTCCCAATTTAATCCTTCAAAAAGTGCAACTCCCTTTCTTTAAAGAGTGCACGTAAGAATGGGTGTGCCCACTACGTGCCGTGCCCTAGAAAAACACGCGAGTGAACAGAACAGAATCTGCACCCTCAGGGGGCTTCTACCCTAGTGAGTGAGAGGGACAAGTCAGGTCTGCGTTCACCACGCAGGAAGCGCTAACTGCCGTCTCTCTTTTATCAAGGGTACTGTCTAGGGCAGTCTGTAGAGACACCTGCCTGCAGCTGTAATGAGGGGGGCTGTGA